TTTTTTTTTTTTAAAAAAAAAAAAAAATAGTGCTTTTTATTACAAAAAAATATATTTATGAAAATATATTTTCATCGAACACCTCGCAATAATTTATTAATTATTTGGATGAATTTGTTTTGAGTAATGCTATAGGTACATAATAGTGTACATCGAGGCGTACATAACAGTCACATTGAGTGAGACCCACCAAAAATAAAAAATCAAGTGGACCCCACTCCATGTGAGTGTTATGTACATCTCTATGTACATTTATTATGTACTTGTAGCATTTTCTATTTGTTTTTGTGTGGTCATGGTGTCACAAGTTTTTATGAGCATGTTTGTTTATAAGAATTTTCTAAAAATTTACAATATTTTAACTCAACCACTTTTTTTAACTCAACTTTATTTCAACTCCACTATTATTATCAATATAATTAAATAATATCAATCAATCATTCATACACACCACATCAACCTAAATTCACTATTCATCCACTCACATTATTTTAACTAACTACCACTTCAAATCATCCATCTCCTACTTCACATCGAATCAATTTTAATTATTTTATTTTAAATATTATTTTCATATACCCACTAACAACTAATCATGCCATCTTTTTCAAAATTAACCAAACCAAACTAAAAAATCCAAACAAAAAGCAAAGGTTTTCATAAACAAACATGCTCTATATTTTTTGCAATTTGGTCCTTTAAACCATGAGCCTGACCAATTTCCACCCCAAATGGATGTCCTTATTTGAACGTACAAAAAATTCAGGGACATACAAAAACCGCATTGCAATTGTTTATATATATGACTCATAAACAAAAGATTGTGAAAAATCAGTAATTTAAGATGTAATTTAAAAATTGTTATATTTTAAGGTAGATACAATTGGATATATCACAGAATTCATACATTCATCCACAATAAAAAGACACTATTAATCATAAATATGATATGATTATTTATACTATATTTGATATGGGATATTGTATACTAGACCGGTTCGCCAGGACAACCGGAGAAAATAGGTCGGACCGTTGGATTACCGGAGTTAGGAAGGAACGAGTAACCTGGTCAAGAAAGACCAAGCACTAGCAACAAAGGAGCAGAGAGCAGACAGAAGAGATCAAACGTGGTCGACAGATACGGACCACCATGAGTGGTCGGATAAGACGTGGTCGCAAAAGATTGGTCGAATATCAGAAGTGCACGAGGGAATCTTCAGCACGTGAAAGGAATGACGCATGGCGCACTGTAAGTGGCTACGTAGCTACAACGAACTCTGACATTCTCTGACAAAGAGGACGCGGCTCCTGACACTAAAGATAGTGGAGACGCGCAGCCGTACGGACGAGCAGAAGACAGTTGGCCGAACTCGCCTTGCTCGCGCGTGCAGCTCAGGTAACTCGCCCTTATAAATAAGGGTGAAAATCCTCATTTTCAGTACAATCTCATATACTCTTATACTTTTTTCATACACTCATATTATCTCTCAAGATCTGACTTGAGCGTTGGAGGCTCTTCACTGGAAAACACCTCCGGTGTGGAAGTTTCGTGCAGGTTCCGCGTTCAACCGACGAGGAGAGCAGGCTCAAGGCGATTTCCAGCCGGTCAGGGTGCGAGACTTGTATTAATATTACTTTGAATTGAAAATATTATTTTAAAATTTTATTCACAAAACTCTTTTTTTTTTTTTTTTTTTTTTCTCATAAACATTTAAATAACATTATGTCACTCATAAAATATTAAAAATAAGGAAAATGCTACAGTCACGTTACAGAACCATTCCGTCGAGACTTGTAACAGTTAGGTCATCATATAATTAAGGAAAATGTTACAATCACGTTACAGAACCATTCCGTCGAGATTTGTAACAGTTAGATCATCATACAACCGTGGTGAATAGTTGATTCAATAATTACAAACTCCATAACAGTTCAGTAACATGAGAATCTCCCTAAAAATAATAATTTATTTATAAAAACTACTGTTCACTGTGAAAGCAACAAGCAAAGGATGGCTGGCCCATTTAAGTGGG